TAAATTCTTCATTTATACTGCTACGAGTTTTAATTGATCCATTAATCGTAGAGAACGATATTTCCTCGACGATGTGTGATACTTCGTCGCAAAAATCGCAGGTGCTTGCCCACCCTCGCTCGTGAGTTCTACCAGCCAGGATTATACATGATAAACGCTTTTAATTATTTTTCCCCCCGCTACCTCCTTGTCCTGAGGAAGCTCGGAATCCCTTCGGTAAACACGAGTAATACGAATCAACCCTCGACAGAATGCAGCCCTTCACACACACACACACACACTCTCTCTCTCTCTCTTTCGCGCGCGTGTAATATCTGCAGCGGCGTAGTCCATTCAGCAAACAAATTCGCGTAGCTAATTTCTTAGATACACTTACGCGTCACATATTATATTATAAGTTCGTAGGTATTCGATTTGAATCTTGCGAAACTTACGCGTGTATTAATTTCAACTCTCTCAGGTTAGTATCGTTGGATCGTAAATCACCGAAACTTCGGACATATTGGGATATAAGTTTATTTTACGCCATACGCTCTTCGTGACGGAGATTGGTGATGAAATTAGATTAAATTGGAAATTTGGAAATAGTTGTAGCGAAAACAGAGCGGCTCAATGGCAGCAATTTTGTTGCCTGACAATATTGGCTCATTGTCAGTGCTAATACTGATTGTGAGTCAATAATAGTCATCTACGCTCTTTTGGGTTTGTCACGAACAAAAAGTATAAAAAGACGCGCTGAAAAGAGAGGAGAAGAGCACTCGAGCAAACCTAAGACAAGTATCTTTCCTTTACGCGAAATCCAACAGTTTGTAGTCCGAACCGATCTTTAAGAAGTTTTCTATCTCACAGATTTGTGTTCGTACGTTCGAAAAGTCGTCTTGGCTCGATCGTTAGGGAGCCACTTAGGGTTCTCACGTTAATTTCTTTAGACATTTAGCAAACTCTACATCGTCGTTTTACATATTTCCTACATTTTGTCGAAGATCGAAGGTCGATAAAAATCGTGTTGCAAGAACGGAGGAGTCGTTAATCGGAACACGAAGGCTGCGCAAATTTCTTTCAGCTACCGGTCGAGCTACGCCATTGCTCACGAGGTTACGAGGGATGTGAAGAAGCAGGCAGAAGAAGAACCAGAGGGAGGCCGGCAGTGGATAGAGAAAGGTGGACACGTGGCCTGAGAGAGAAAGTGGCTCTTTTAACAGGCCATTATTGTGCGCCGGGGACATTTTCCCGGGCCATTATTATATCTGACGATAAGTCGGGAGATAACTGAGCCGACCGGGCTTCCTCGCGTTCTCTCCCCTGTTCTTCTTGTAGGCGGCGTGCGCGCGAGAAAATCTGTATTACTATCGAGATTCAATCGGTGACTAAGCGTTGTTTGTTAAGTGGATCTCGCTGGGACACACACACCCGTGTTGCTTCCTTTCTTTCTTTCGCTCTACGAGTCTTTCGTCAATTTAATGACGCGGGGCTCTCTGCAAATTACTAAATTTTATTTTTTTTATCAAACAAGTGGTATAAAATCTTTCTTCCGTAGGGCTTCTATCAACATGTATTAACACACACCCGTGTTACTTTCTTTCTTTCTTTCGTTCTACGAGTTTTTTGTCAATTTAATGACGCGGGGCTCTCTGCAAATTATTAAATTTTATTTTTCTTATCAAACAAGTGGTATAAAATCTTTCTTCCGTAGGGCTTCTATCAACATATATTAACACACACACCCGTGTTACTTTCTTTCTTTCTTTCGTTCTACGAGTCTTTCGTCAATTTAATGACGCGGGGCTCTCTGCAAATTATTAAATTTTATTTTTTTTGTCAAACAAGTGGTATAAAATCTTTCTTCCGCAGGGCTTCTATCAACATGTATTAACACACACACCCGTGTTACTTTCTTTCTTTCTTTCGTTCTACGAGTCTTTCGTCAATTTTCGAATGCATGGATACAATACACCCTACGCGCGGCACTCTGCAAGTTATTAAATTTTATCTTTTTTATCAAACAAGTGGTATAAAATCTTTCTTCCGTAGGGCTTCTATCAACATGTATTAACACACACCCGTCTTACTTTCTTTCTTTCTTTCGTTCTACGAGTTTTTTGTCAATTTAATGACGCGGGGCTCTCTGTAAATTATTAAATTTTATTTTTTTTTATCAAACAAGTGGTATAAAATCTTTCTTCCGTAGGGCTTCTATCCACATGTATTAACACACACACCCGTGTTACTTTCTTTCTTTCTTTCGTTCTACGAGTCTTTCGTCAATTTAATGACGCGGGGCTCTCTGCAAATTATTAAATTTTATTTTTTTTATCAAACAAGTGGTATAAAATCTTTCTTCCGCAGGGCTTCTATCAACATGTATTAACACACACACCCGTGTTACTTTCTTTCTTTCTTTCGTTCTACGAG